TTTTCACATGCTTGATTCATCCTCGATGAAATGAAGATTTTGTTAAGAAAATCATAGAAGAAATTATTAACAAATATATATACAAAATAGAAATATTTAATTAGAATTTTTTTTTTGAAAATTATGCTATCAAAATAAGTAACTTAAAAAAAAAACAAGTTAAATATTTCTTTTATTCTTTCATTTTTATTAAAATAATTTTTGTTACCCATTTTATTTTCAAAGAACACAAGTCTCCCTTTTTCCCCTTGAAAATGACAATGAATACAATAATTTTTGCCCCTATTTGATGGTCATTATAAAAAGAAATTGGGAGAAAATGATGCTTTAAATGGTGATTTTTTAGAGAATATGTGGTTAAAAAGGAGGAAAATATTTTGAATTTACATGTTTTATTGTATGCATTTGTGATTAAAAATGAGTATGATATATAAATAATTTTGTTTTAATGGGAGTCAAACGATATAACTTAAAGACAACATGTCAAATCTGTAGTCACAAATCCAATTTTTTTTCACATGCTTGATTCATCCTCGATGAAATGAAGATTTTGTTAAGAAAATCATAGAAGAAATTCAATATCTTGATGGGACCATTAAAATAAAATTTATATATACTTCTAAACTACGTTACTTATTTATTTATTTTCTTCTATTTCTACGTTGAATTATAGTAATCATTATTGAAGTTAATCAAGCAATAAAAAACTCTTTGAATGATAGAAAATTGCTCCACAGCTATACATTTTAGAAAAATCATAATGTTTGGTAGGACAGAAAATATATGAATGGATAGTAATTTATCTCTTAAATTAGGTGGCACAATTAGGCCCCGTTTGGGGGAGATTTTGAGAATTGATTTTTTGACCTTTAGAAAAAAAGTGGGGTCTACCTGTGAGAGAAGAAGTCAAAAATTATGTTTGAAATAGTGAAATAACGATCAAAAAATCAATTTTTTGAGGGTAAAAAATCCCTCTCAAACAAGCCCTTAATAAGCCTTGTCCTAAAACCTGCACATACACTATCATAGTTTCCTAATTAAATATTCTAGTGCTGGCTGGAAATAGCTTAAAAACTATTAAGTCCCTATTTGTTCTCCATTATAATTTGGTACATTTTTCTCTTCTCATTCTCCAATTAAACAATATTACACGTAAATCAAAATTTTTTCATCTTCTTTTATCATACATTCTTAAAAAATATTACTATTTAAGAAAACATTATTCCAAAAAACTCATTACAATGGATCTCAAACATAGGCTAAAAGTTAGAGTCAATAATTAATTTTAATTACATATTTCATGAGATATACAATTTTTATTAGATTTTTGATTATACATTCTATCAATTTTATTAAGCCCCTGTTTGACAATCATTATAATGAGAATTTTGAATAAAATATATTTTGGAATAGTATTTTTAGATGAATGTGTAGTTAAAAAATAAGAATTTTTTTATTTACTTGTAATATTATTTTATTGAAAAATGTATGATTAAAAATAAGTGAAAGAAAATTTATTAAAATTTTAAAGAGAATCAAATCAGGGCTAAAATCAGCTAAAACTATCAAACAACCTTTAATCTCATGGTGGTCATTCGTTGTAGAAAAGTCGTAATCATTTTTTGGTTCAACACAATTAGTTGAAATTTGAGGGGCGAAAAAAACCTTGGTGGAGTTGATAAATAAATTACAAATGAAAAAAAAAAATAGATTTTTATTTGTTTGAGCCTAAAATAGAAGAAGAATTACTTGGCGGCTTGGCACCCATTATTTGACAAATTAAAGATTTTTGAATAATATGTGTTGTAGTGTTGGAGAATGTGTGGTTAAAAAGTAAATAAATTTCATTGATTTGTGTGTAGAATACTTTATTGTGTGAATATGTGGTAGAGAATAATACTGTAACAAACAATTTAAAATTTTAAAGGCCATCAAACATGCTCTTCAATTGGGATTTCTATATATTTTTAAAAGGTTTTTAAAAATAATGGGGTATTTAATTGAAATTTTTTAGAAGTCTCTATAAGTCCTGAGATATTTAAATTGACATTGACTTTTGTAGAATTCTGTACTTACTAGATTTTTGGATATTTTTTGGTGAAAAATATAAATAGTAAATCTAAAGAAAATCCTTCATATACTTTGGAATTTGTGAAGATTTCAGGAAAAAGAAAAAGAACATTTTCTTTCAATTCTAGTATTATTTCATCTCTCTTCAATTCATTTATTGTAATCAATTTATGATTATTCTATATGTACATAATTACTTTTGAATTGAAATTATATGAAATTATTTCAATAGATTCAAAGCGTAAAATTGGGCACTGAATATTTGATGTGATGTTGAGATAGTTAATCGGTTACATGCAGCTATCGACTTGTAAGTAATTAGCATAAATATTAACAAATATATATACAAAATAGAAATATTTAATTAGAATTTTTTTTTTGAAAATTATGCTATCAAAATAAGTAACTTAAAAAAAAAACATAACAAAATAAGTAACTTAAAAATAAACAGGTTAAATATTTCTTTTATTCTTTCATTTTTATTAAAATAATTTTTGTTACCCATTTTATTTTCAAAGAACACAAGTCTCCCTTTTTCCCCTTGAAAATGACAATGAATACAATAATTTTTGCCCCTATTTGATGGTCATTATAAAAAGAAATTGGGAGAAAATGATGCTTTAAATGGTGATTTTTTAGAGAATATGTGGTTAAAAAGTAGGAAAATATTTTGAATTTACATGTTTTATTGTATGCATTTGTGATTAAAAATGAGTATGATATATAAATAATTTTGTTTTAATGGGAGTCAAACGATATAACTTAAAGACAACATGTCAAATCTGTAGTCACAAATCCAATTTTTTTTCACATGCTTGATTCATCCTCGATGAAATGAAGATTTTGTTAAGAAAATCATAGAAGAAATTCAATATCTTGATGGGACCATTAAAATAAAATTTATATATACTTCTAAACTACGTTACTTATTTATTTATTTTCTTCTATTTCTACGTTGAATTATAGTAATCATTATTGAAGTTAATCAAGCAATAAAAAACTCTTTGAATGATAGAAAATTGCTCCACAGCTATACATTTTAGAAAAATCATAATGTTTGGTAGGACAGAAAATATATGAATGGATAGTAATTTATCTCTTAAATTAGGTGGCACAATTAGTCCCGTTTGGGGGAGATTTTGAGAATTGATTTTTTGACCTTTAGAAGAAAAGTGGGGTCTACCTGTGAGAGAAGAAATCAAAAATTATATTTGAAATAGTGAAATAACGATCAAAAAATCAATTTTTTGAGGGTAAAAAATCCCTCTCAAACAAGCCCTTAATAAGCCTTGTCCTAAAACCTGCACATACACTATCATAGTTTCCTAATTAAATATTCTAGTGCTGGCTGGAAATAGCTTAAAAACTATTAAGTCCCTATTTGTTCTCCATTATAATTTGGTACATTTTTCTCTTCTCATTCTCCAATTAAACAATATTACACGTAAATCAAAATTTTTTCATCTTCTTTTATCATACATTCTTAAAAAATATTACTATTTAAGAAAACATTATTCCAAAAAACTCATTACAATGGATCTCAAACATAGGCTAAAAGTTAGAGTCAATAATTAATTTTAATTACATATTTCATGAGATATACAATTTTTATTAGATTTTTGATTATACATTCTATCAATTTTATTAAGCCCCTGTTTGACAATCATTATAATGAGAAATTTGAATAAAATATATTTTGGAATAGTATTTTTAGATGAATGTGTAGTTAAAAAATAAGAATTTTTTTATTTACTTGTAATATTATTTTATTGAAAAATGTATGATTAAAAATAAGTGAAAGAAAATTTATTAAAATTTTAAAGAGAATCAAATCAGGGCTAAAATCAGCTAAAACTATCAAACAACCTTTAATCTCATGGTGGTCATTCGTTGTAGAAAAGTCGTAATCATTTTTTGGTTCAACACAATTAGTTGAAATTTGAGGGGCGAAAAAAACCTTGGTGGAGTTGATAAATAAATTACAAATGAAAAAAAAAATAGATTTTTATTTGTTTGAGCCTAAAATAGAAGAAGAATTACTTGGCGGTTTGGCACCCATTATTTGACAAATTAAAGATTTTTGAATAATATGTGTTGTAGTGTTGGAGAATGTGTGGTTAAAAAGTAAATAAATTTCATTGATTTGTGTGTAGAATACTTTATTGTGTGAATATGTGGTAGAGAATAATACTGTAACAAACAATTTAAAATTTTAAAGGCCATCAAACATGCTCTTAAGAGTAAATTTGTTAAGATTAACCAAACTTGACATATAAACTCTAACAAAAAATTTGAAAAATAAAATCTCAATTTCAACTCTAGTACAGAGTTGAGTTGAAATTGTCCGTCCTCATCCCCACAAGGGGTATTTGCTATATGGGGCATTTTCCTACTGGGGTCTTACCTACCCCACACTGTAGGGGCGGCCCCACATAAAAATAATAATGATGATAATAATTTACGTTGGGGCCCGCCATGTATATTGTCTGGCGAGGGGCTATGTCCTTGTACATGCGGCACGGTTCTTGTTATACACTATTGCAAGCAGTAAAGAAAGGAAAGAATCTATAACTCGTTATACAAAGACTACTACTAAGAAAATAAAGAAGGAACGAATTAAAAGAAATACATCTTGTAATCTACAATTTACTCTCTCCGAAATTGAGAAATATAAGAGGGGATCGTAACCTGCTTTTCACACTTAAGGCTATTTGTACCTCCTATAACTTTGCCTCTTCATTTTTTTTCCCTCTCGAATAAGAATCTAGCATACTTTAAATTTGTTATAGAAAAGACATAGTTTAGACAACATAAACGATAGTTTAGACAACATAAACAAGAGATAGAAAATCATAGTTTTTGTATGCAAAGACATGACTATATTATACAAACTATTACATAAAATTACAGATCAAGAAATACAACCACAATAAAATTTTAAATATAATACATTATTGTCAACAATGTTCTTACAAACAACATGACATCACAAAGAAAAGAGGCCTAACAACATTTTCTAAAAAGGCCTCTAAAACATTAACACAAATAATCCTTCTGCTACAAATTCCAGTCCAATCCATCCACCAAAAGAAAAACCCTTTTCCCATCTAAAACATTAGTTTGGTTGAATTCCTCAACCTCCCAAAAAAGGCCTAGACAAACTATGAGGTCACTCTTTACAACAGGAGGATAAAAGAACATGGCCAACAATAGCCAACCATGAAAAAAAGTGACAGAAAAAAACCCTCCTTCAAAATGAACCTCACAGCAAACAGTAAAGGGAAATGGTTTAAAATGGCGTGGAGTTCACAGGATTTGATGGCCAGGAAAACTGCAAAACAAAGATTTTAGGATGAACTGTAGTCACAGATTATTTTTAGTACTTTTAGGCATCAAGATACAAGGCAGATTTAAGTAGAAGAGAGACACTTTTGCATGTCAACCGGTCGAGGATCTTCATCTCATATTAATGGTAAGAGAGCTGAACGTAAATTCTTCATGAAATCCTTCAGTGGAGTGGTGAATTTTTCGTCCATCTACAAGAATCAGAATTAGATTTAAATCAGTTCTTTAGTGAAAATTGGGATAGGCATTAATGGTTGTTAAGGACCTAATTGTCATTGGATCTTCTTTTTTAGATGTAGTAATGAACCAAACAGATGTAATTGACTACTGAAAATAAGGCCTGCTCATTTTTGTTATTTGAGTACCTCAGGAGTATCATTGGTAAGCAATACTAGACAAGACTGAATAGTATAAGTGTATAACGAACACGATATTAGCTGGTTCTCTTCTTTACACTGTCCATTACTATCAATCCTCCTAACCAATCACACCTCAATTGAATGCAAAGTGAAATCTAAACATGAAAGTACCTGAGCAATAATAGTTATATCAATAGCAGAATCTCCGAAAGACATGGCACTACTATTAACAACAGTAAGATGGAGTTTCTCAATTTCAGCAACTATCTTATCCAGTATTCCTTTCTTTCTTTCACAGTGAACTCTAATAAGGACTTCTTTATCAGAAAACCTTGCTTCAATTTCTGGCAGAGGCTCATCAATAGGGCTACCGGAGAAGTTCTCCTCTGAGGAAGAACTTTCACCATCAGCACAAAGTTCATATTTCTTGACAAAAACCACAGATTCCATGGATTTCTTCCTAGTTTGCTCCTCAAGATTCTTCACTTGGTCTTGGAGTTGTTTCAAGTACTTAATGGCATCTCCAAGAACAGAAACCTTGTCCATCTGTTTTGAAAAGCAATGATCAATGCACATTAGCATAAAAATGAGCTTGGCTTATGTCCACTTTTTATTGCAGGTTTTGCACTATTACGAAGGAAAGGGGTACATAATATTTCTCACGCTTCTCACACATAAAACGGCCTAAACCCGTAAATCCTTTATATGGTAGGAATATAGGGATCTGGGGACACATAAACTATTTATAACGTTGCAGCATGGGAATGAACAAGCGATGACAGACGGAAACACTTGAGATTTGATGATTGAAATCCATAATATAGTAAAGTTTTTATTCTGATACTCATCTACTGGTTTTCGAGTTTTGTTAATTATTGCCTGATGTACTATCTATATTAAGAAAGAAACTAGTACCTTTTTCAATCCAGGAACTAGAGCAGACAAAGCTATGAACCTCTGGCTGAGCTTTTCTCTTCTCTTCCTCTCAGCTATAATATGATCTTGTGGTTGAGTCAGACGTGCATTCGTGCAGATTCTCTTAGCTCCTTCAGAAGCCTTCAACATGTAATTTTGGGTCCCGAACAAAGATTGGGAAATGACAGAATCAGATGGGAATGTAGTACTTCTAGAAGACCATGTCTCCTCTTTAGGCTTCACAATCCCTACTTGATTAGTGTAATTTGAATTGACCAAATGAAGATTGTTGGACAGAGGTGGATTTGGTATTTGCTCAAAATTGCAAGAATTCCAAGTGTCAGTTTTCAGTTCTGGTGTCCGTTTATAGTCGAACATTGACTGAGAGAAAGGCTGATGCAACTCCTGATTACCAAACGCAGCAGCCATAGACACTCTGCTCAGGTCATCGAGTGAGTTTACAGGCCATTGGTGAATGAAACCATGATCATCTATTCTCTGTAAATGGAAAATGTATTGATTAATCTGGTAACAACAAATTGAAAAGTATAATTTCGAAAATCTGGAAGAATTAATATTTTGAAATATTCAGAATTGCTTGAAAAGTTATCATGACAGTAATTTCTGCAGCATTTATCATTCCACTCAAATACAAACTGAATAGAGTGGTAAAAAGGATTCATGTGGCCGACCCCAAATTTTAAAAATAACTAAAATAAACGGAGAAACTAAAAGGCGTGAAATTTGCAGCATGTTACCAATTCTGTCAAGCAACTGACGTTTGAGATCTCCATGAGCCCAGTGGAGAGTCCTGCAAGAAAAAGAACTAGCAAGTTATATTATAAAGCCGATTATATATAATCTTGTTCAGTCCTATGTACTACAAGTTTTCTTAATCCATGTGTTTTGGACAAAATGAGAGAGAGAGCTCAACCTTTACAATAGTATGGGCAAAGCAGATCTTTTTTTCTAACTTCCAGTCCTATAATCAAGGAGATTGCTTAAGCATTTATAGGTACAAGTCCAACTTATTACTCGAATGTCTTTCTCTCTCTTGTTTTTCTTCACAAATTGTTGATTTAGACATTTGAATATCTCTTCTACCAATAATGGGAATATAAAAATTGATTAAAAATCTTGGTGGGTAGCTTTTAAGCTGGTAGAAAATAAGAAATAATTGGTCCACTTTGCTGTCCAATTATGAAACCTCTCACAACTAGCTCCGTTGAACTTTGAGGTTGCAGTGGAAAAACTCCACCAAATCCCATATAAAAATGCAATACATCAACAAAATTGTGCCCCAAGTATGAAGTTAGAATATAGTACACAATATTAAATATAATTAAATATAGCTTATTACGACTTTTAAATGTTTATCCGAAACGTCACAGATTCTTGGTTTACCTTAATCTAATTTAACGTAACAAGTCTTTAATTAAAAATTGAGTCCAACAAGGATATATTAAAGATAAAAATAACATGAGCCGACCATCGAAAAAATACACATCATTTGAAGTATCTTTTGCTCCATACACTCCACCGGCCTATAGATAGCACATGGATGCTCGTACAGTACTAGCAAACCGTGAACAAACAGAAACCCTATATCCCAAATAGGAATATAAACTTGATTTTTACGAAGCCTCTCGCTCTGTTGGTGCCTGGTGGTGCATCGTGTAGTGAATAGGAACAGCCAAAAGTAAACGAACAATGCTACATGTACATTTTTACAGAATGTCACGTGACAACATTACTTAAATTTTGCGCTAAAAAAAAAAGGGTTAAATAGCCAATCAAGTGCTGCCGTCTTAGCACTTGTAAAATCTCATCTACATCTCCCCTATACAAGTATCATATCTGAACATAAACTTATCTTCTTAAGCGGTTTGAATGACGCATGATCTATCATTAAAATTCACATTCGCGTAATAGCTTACCAAAATACGAGTCAATTATTCATTGGTCGTGCAAGTATTTCTCCAATCTTGAGCAACACTGGCCTCAAATATAATCACTTAATTACGAAAAACTGCCGGTTTCAGAATCAGAGTTCAAGTCTAATTCAGAAACAACTAAAAACAGCACTGGTTATAGGAGAAAAATGTGGAAAAAACATGTATATATTAACAAGAGATACTCATAGAGATTAAGATTCCATTTATAACAAATCCAAGCATACACTATATATCACAGCATTTATCTGCTTGTAATAAGATAGATTCCCAAACAAAAGGGATTCTACATTGTCTTGCAAGAATATATATGTATGTACTACCTGGCAACCTATTGCAAAGGAGGCTCTGTGTATTCATTTATGAAGAAATCCAAGCAATTTTTTCTGGCACCGATGATCATATGGGTTGCGGAACCTCCCATCTGGACCGCAAAGATATCCATAGTGTGTAGCATTTGCCAATTCCTTAGTGGTGATGTTCCGAGCAATCTGCAATTTAAGAAGTTAGTGAGTTTGTAACTGTGCACCATAGACAGGGTAACTAACGCAACTCATTCGAATGTTATCCAAAGAAGACTCCTTGAGTATGTTTTGAACCGAAGAGAACGAATTCATCGAGCAACAACAAGAAAGAAATGGAAAAAGAAATTTCACTTGCAAGAAGTGTCTCATTGGCAAGCATCTTTAGATAAGCTTAAAAGAAGTAAAAGCTACTTTCAACTTTTTATTTCCAAACATATTTGGACATGTACTTAAACCTTGAAGTCAATAATCAAATGTCAACTCTTCAACAGTGATTGGAAAGAGAAATAAAATAGAGAAACAAAATGGCAAATATGTAACCTGGGATGCTTGAACCGTTGATAAAGTTGCAGTAGCAATAAAGATAGCTACATCCATGACCAGGAAAGAAACAACACCAGGATAACTAAAAATCGTGTAATGAATCCTTGTTTCTCCCGTTACCAATGTAGATATCGATATCCAAATTCCTGTCATATTACACAAGTTACAATCTTATGAAAGTTGGGGAGCAACATTTACAACAGTATATAAAAGTTTAGCTGCTCCAACATACTTTGGACAGCAACAACCCCACCAATAAACGTCGTAGATGTCCCAATGCAGAGAAAAATGAAAAAAAGTCCCATTTATTCCTCCGTAAAACTCACGATGACAATAAAATAAAAATGATGCTAGTAAGGTATGAAAATGTGAGAGAAAAGGAAAAAAATGAGGATGCAGTGGAGAACAAGCAAATAACACTTAGTTAGGCTGTAAATTCAAAAATTCATAATGCCGTTGAGAAGGATATTGATTTTGGTACATGTTTTATTCTGTAACATGATCAAAGGTACTTGAATCCCAGCTTCAAGAGAGAAAAATAAATAGAGATAAAATGCAGTGTAAGTGGTAGTCCATCTCATGAGAAATATACACTATACATTATGCATCCATGTCAGTTGACAATAACTCTCAAGTCTGGAACAGTAAACCCAGCTCCATTGTTTACAAAGGCATGAGTGGCATACGCCTTGAGGCCTATCTCAAGGCAAGGAACGCCCTTGACATTTCGAGGCTTACCCATCTTGAATATGTGGTACAAATTGAGCCATTGCACCTAAAGGCCTACGAGGTTTGTGCCTCATTTTGAAGGGTTGGATGGTAGATTTTTGGGTTTTCTAGTGTTAGGTTTCTTTATTTTCTTTTGGCTCCTTTTTTGTAAAATGACACTAGACTTCAAAAAAAACCAAGCTCAAGTGATAGGAGTATGTTATCGGGCGTTTAAAGTTGGGAATCTTCATTTACTTTTGGGTATGGATATTTCAATTTTTTCTTCTGAGCCTACTTGAAACGAAGAATATGGAAATCAGTTAACAGGGTTGGTTTTTGGGTTTCCAAGTTTGGCTTCTTTATTTATTATGGAGTTTGGGAGAAGGGGAACGGGAACGGGAACGGGAATGGGAATGGGAGGACATTGCATGGGATTGAGGGATATAATATGCTGATAACGCCTTTACGGATTCTAGTGATGATGATGCTTTTTTTAACTTATCATCACTGCTAGTCTATTCCTAGGCCTCAATGACTATGAAAATTTCTTATTTGCCTTGAACTTCAAGATTTTACATGATAAAGTACTTTTCTTTTTAATTTGAAACATTGAGAACGATTACAGTTGTCGGGAATGGGAATGGGAGGACATTGCATGGGATTGAGGGATATAATATGCTGATAACGCCTTTACGGATTCTAGTGATGATGATGCTTTTTTTAACTTACCATCACTGCTAGTCTATTCCTAGGCCTCAATGACTATGAAAACTTCTTATTTGCCTTGAACTTCAAGATTTTACATGATAAAGTACTTTTCTTTTTAATTTGAAACATTGAGAACGATTACAGTTGTGAAATCATATTGTTCATAATTTCTATAGGTGTTTCAAGTGTGACTCTCTTTTCCTCTAAATACTCGTACAGATTGCAGATTGTTTTATCAAGAGTTCCGCGTGATCATTGTAAATGGCATAATTTTTTGTGTTTGCAGAGATCTTTCTAAAGCATCCATCTGCACTAAGAAAGAGACACCCATTTTGAAAACAAACTCTTTACGTATACATCTTGCAAAAATGAAAACCCAATAACTAGAATTCTATTCAGGGAAAGCACCGATATCAGAAAATTTTGTGTAAAATCATGGTTTTCTGATAAGAGATCACACTTATGGAACGTAGATTCTTATTTTGCACAAGGGCAGACATGGGAACATTGAGAAAAGCTAGACCTGATTGATTGTAATTGAGAAATTTGAACAAATTCAAGGATCAAAAAGGAACAAAGGGACAATTTGATTCAAGCACCCAACATAACTCCTGAATACATCTGGCAATTTCGCCTCTTAACATACGAAGATGAAGTAAGAGGTATTTGACAAAACCTGGACCTGGAAAGATTATATGGCAATTCTATATATTCATCAGTTGTCAACATATAAGTGCCCGATGAGCATGGACATAGTTCACTGAGTATCAATTATAGGAATTCTTACCTTCCCCACACAATTTGAGATCCAGGGGCAATGATAATCAAACTATTCCAGGCAGCGTTTGTATGTAGGACAGTGCTTGGAGCGAACGGGTCTTATATCTATAATACAAACAACGTAATAAAACCAAAGGTTCAAAGAGCACTCAAGCACCAAATGCATCAGAGGAAGCAACAAGATGCAATCTTAAATTTATTAATCATTTACAATATAACAACGTCGCAAACAAACCTTGCAAGTAGGGCACAGTTGAGTCCAGTTTCGCATCCAACTATCCAAATCAGTGTTCAATAAAGGATCCTGTAATTAAATTAAACCAATTTGATCAGGTACAATAGTCTCTAGAAATAATTGAGAGACCATTATAGAAGAGATCAGGTACCTCAGCATCAGTATTGCTGCCCAAACCTTTCTTTATATAACCAGGATCTTTACTGCAGCAGAATGAGATACAATCATCAACTAGAAGGGCAGTAACAATAAGGGTTCAACTTGAAGACAAACACAGAACTGAAGCTACACTTGCTGCTTTTTTTTCTCTAAGACATCAGATAGACATTTCGGAACAGAAGGGATTTCAATTTTCAGGTATATGCAAAAACAAGCCCCTTTCCCTTTAAAAATATTTACTGGAATCTCCCATTTTTCTTCCAACAAAATTATCAAATGAGCAACAAACAACACTATCGTACATTCCTAAACCATTTGACAACAAAGTTGAGAAAATATATTTGTCAGTGAGATACAGATATAGCCATTTAGAATAGTACATGTAGAAACAAGATGCCAAGATCTCTGGCTGCCAAAAAATATAGCTCTTCATGTCGCCAAAAGTAATGCTAGTTAAATAGAAGTTAAAAAATCACAAAGCGTATATGAACATTGTTGTATATCAATATCGCACACCACATTTAGAGTTACAGTCAAGGCAGGTATTATGCACTTAGATGTCAATGGAATAAAAATACCTTCCTTGGTATTGCAGAAAACTGAAGAACAATCAAGAAACACATGTGGCTGCCTAACTTATTAATGTATCTTTGACCTCACTTATTAATGTAACGTTGACAGCAAGTCTACCTACTGCAGTGCACAAGCATGATTAAGGCACCAACTGCTAAAGCAACGGCCGTCCACCCCCAAAGTCCAACAACAGCTGTAACCTTTGTAAGATTAGCAGCTAGCACAAGAATGGAATAATGATTAGCAAGACAATCTTCGTCACCCACCAATATAAGCATAAAAATCAAGATACAGCTTTACCAACCAAAAAGAACTGAACCAACAAAGAGAATGATATTAATAACCACGAGACTGAAGAGAAATGGGGCATAACCAATTGTCCTGCCTTTTCCGATGCAAACTCTGTCTTCCCAATGCTTGGTCTGAGCGCGGCATGCATTGGACTACATCATATTAAATCATTCAATGTTATGCGTTCAAGAAAGGAGTGACCCTGTGGAAAAGAGGGACTATTTTTGAAATAAACGGCAAGAAAATTATGTTGCCGAGAAGATGGAGAGAAGACAGAAACAGAAACTACATTCACGCAAGGAAGGGGATCCAAGTCAAATTTTAAAATTCAAGTTGAAACAGAGGCCATCTTCTTAGAATTTTAAATTGAAAATCTTAAGGACAAACAAAGAAAACACAGGAGAAAAGCATCCGAGCAGAATGCAAACTGTAAGGAAGGACATACAAAATGAAAAATATAATTCACTTGATGGAAGGAGAAATGTATTTTTTATCACAGCAAAAAAACGAAGACAACAAAACATCAACTTTATCTGCACTGCATAAATTATAGCTGCTATAAGGAACGACTACTACTTGGATCAACAAACTCTTTATACTCGGTAAGGTTTTCATGCAAAATTCACACAGAGGAAATGTACATGAAAGATCTTTCTTCAACTAGCAAACTCGAGCACTTGACCACTCAAAGCATGGCCATTCCCCAACTGTCTCTCGAAAACTACAATATAAAACTCAATAGTAGCCACAAATATAGTAACATGAACATGGACAATACCACTTCCAATTGTTCCTGTCATCCATCATAACCTGCACGACCCTAACATCTCCCTCTTGCTTCACCGACAAGTGAAATCCATGACTATACGCTATGAACCCCACCCCCTTTTTTCCAAAACCAGATAAAGAATCGTACATCATTGGTCAGCGAAGAGTTTTAACCAATATTTTACAATTTCCTATCAAATCAAATAAGTCATGTTAAGATGATAAACGGTGTCAAACATCTCTTGTACATCAATAGACCAGAGGACCTTGAAATGTGTAAATTACAATTCTGAATGTGTCAACAATAATTCAAATATACATTGCTAAAGCTAACATAAATACAAAAATATTTTGATACAATTACCATAAAGTTACATACAAGGAATTGGGCGATATGCTGATAACCTTTATCAGAAGCAAGATTACAGATGAGAATCGAGCTTTGTCTTTTACCATTAATTCCTGCTTTGTGCCAGCATGTACAAGTACAGGCATGCCTCCCAATTTCCTCTCAATACAGCCCAATGCAAAGGTGTACAGCCTGGCCAGGAATATACAGTCAAAACTAGCAAAATGGTGCAACAGTTCTGGTCATTAAAGCGTCTGGATATATGCTTTTAACCTCTCTGCCCCGTCCCACTTGTCCAGTTCTCTTCCACAGTATTAAGATTGTTGATTAAACTAGTATGTTTAGCATTGCTTAAAAAGGAAGTTAAATTTATTTTAGGTTACTAAATTTTGCCGAACAGGATTTTTAAAGTGACTTTCTTACAATAAAACTTACTTTTCTAGAAAGTAAGCCTTCGTTTCCTTTTTAGAAAAGTAAATTTTAAACATAGTAAAACGTGACCTATAAGCTCAGCCCAAAAAGATATAATGAGCGAGCAAGTCAACTGTCAAACATGGACACAACACTTTCAACTTTCAAGTATCTCAAGTGCTACAAAATATATTATATTGTGGTTGGAATTATCACAAGCACCAAACAACACTTTCACACAGGAAAATCAGTTCAGTTACATGTATAATTATCCATCCCTTACTAATTTCTTTCAGTTGTTCTGCCAACTAAGCAACCCCAAACCAAGGGAAGAAGTAGGGGGGAAGAGCAAAGAGACACTCCAACATGATTGTTTGTCAAAAACAAAAAAAAAAAGGTATATGTAGTGTAAAAGAGGCTTAAGAAAAAATATAAAAACGAAGTCAGATGATTTCTTCAATTATTTATATTGCCAAGTCAATATTTGTGATAAAAAGTCACTAAAACATGAAAAGCAAATTTGTACATGCCCAAAACACTTTAACATTGTACTCTAAAGAGATTTTTGAAAAATGAATTAGACTGTCCTCCATATCATAGACAATATCTAATCACCAACAATATCAGAATAAAAAACATAATATAGAATTATAATGTGATAGAAATTAGAGGTGGGTCCAAAGAAATGTATGGTTAAATTTAATGATTAACTTTGAAAAGGAAATTATAAGTTACTTTTGATGTTATCCAAAGTGGGCTTAGTTTCAACAAATGTTATAAGGCTTAAATATACTTCAATCATTGCAAATTGTTTTACTTTTCCATAAATGGGACTTCTTGACCAAGTAGTTGTACTATCCAAATAGATAAATATACTTGATTCCATATTATACATGAATTATTTGAGAATGCTCCATCCCAATTTTAAATACCTTCTTTATCCTGTCTCCCTTGGCAGGCATCTCTAATCAGATGTAATCTAATAGTATCAGCACATTCCTTGTATGCAGCCCTAGTTGAAAGAAACAGAGGATGAACTCATATGTTTCCAGTACTTGCAAAAACATAGCTTAACGCATTTAAATTGAATAAGACTCCCAACTACCATGAAAGCACCAACCATGAGTCTGAAAGGCCTTCAATTTCTTGTGCATCCCCCAATACAAATCGTAAAATTGGTTTTTCAGGAATATCACTTTTCAATTTCATGTGAACTCTTAGCCCCGGTTTGTGTGTGTGTCTAAGATTTTTTTTATTTTTTATTTTTTATTTTTAATGGTTCTTTCTTGCATTACTAATAAGACATTTGATTTCATGCTTAAATCAAAATTATGTCAAACATAAAGATATATGTTGAAGCAAAAAATTATTGAAGCCGTGCCTGATATTTTATTTTATTTTTATGAAAATTATATCATGCTACAAGCAAATAAAATGTTGGAGACCAAAGGTACAATTTCCGAGTAGCAAAAGATAACTAAACCAGTAAGGATTTTTCTATTTGTACATCGGGTACCGACCCCCTCGCAAGGGACCGGGGGGGTGGGGGGGGGCTGCGACGAATAAAAAAGTTCTTATGAGAAGGTCGATACACCCGGTGTACATGTAGACAAATCCAAACAGTAAAACAAGAACAAAAAATTCATGTGCTAGTCAGTTTCCTCTTCCGCGAGTTGTAGGACGTTCTTGGAGAGCTCCAGTATGTTTTTCGCATTCCAGTTGATGTATAGATATCATCGTTCTCATAATAATAGCCTCTCTTATTGTTCCAGATCCTACACAAAACCCAATCGTCCAACTTGGTTCGACCTTCAACATTGTATTGCGGTGGCAGAGGATCAATCGCTCTAAATTCATACATAATCCAAGAGGTCTTTTTACTGCTACCAGGTTTTCCCTTGTAGAATTGAAAAATCTTATGAAATCCAACGGTTTCCCCATTATATTCCACATTTACATCATCTCCTTTTACTTGCCAATATCCATCAACTGTAGAAACATTTATATTCTCATTTTGGTACTTTCTATCTCTTAATGTAAACAAGTACCAAATTTCAGTCGAAAACTTCCCATAATTATCTGCAAGTTTCTCTGGGTCGATCTCGTATATATTACCCAGTTTAACCAGATTGCGAGGCAGCTTCTCGTTCTTGATTTTTTTTATCAAGAGATCTAAAATTTGAGCATCATTGGGGTGGAAAACCATAACTTTATACAATCTCGCAAAGTATTATTCATCAGTCAGTTTTTCATTCACATAATTCGAAAGTCGATAATCGATCTTGTTGATGCTTTGAGTGTCCATTGAAAAATTCTAGATCTGGAGATCTGGGAAGGAACGGTTATGCGGGAAATTGAAAACTTATGTTTTGTTTTATAGATAAAACCCTTCCAGGAAGTTGGCACCTATTTATTCCTTTAGAGTTCCCTACAGGAGAGGAGCCAGCGCTGCCTGATATTTTAGGTAATTATAATTTCATACTTAAATCTAGAATGTCAATTCTCATAGAAAAAACAGTCTTGCTGATTTATGCATATTAAAAAGCAATTGCTTGACCTTATAATTAATAAGCATCCTCTAATCTATTTTGCCCACACAGCTAACAAAGAATATATCCAATCGACGAATGAAGAAGCATGAACAAAATGGGTAAAAATAAAGCGAAGTTATCCATTTGGTCCGCTGCTCTAGATAATAGAAGGAAGAATAATGCCGCTAAAATTGTATTATCTATCATATAAATCATTCAAACATGACTTTAGATTGATGGGAAAAATGGATAATTTGTGTGTAGATATTTATTAATTAACATAATCAATTAAGTCCCTATTTGTTTTCCATTATTTGGTCATTAAAATGAAAAATATGATCGTTATCCATCACATCAAGTCATCATATTTGAATTTCTATCTCTTGTGTGATTCGTAACAGCTATATTTTTCATTCTCATTCTTACATTAATGAAAAACAAACGGGACCTAAAAAACATAAACATAATTCAATAATAATATAAATACAAAAAGAGAAGAGTTAGAAATGTAAGCCTTAGGGAGTCACATTAATAATGTTGTCCTAAAGTCTTGTTATTTCCCTTTGTGCGAGTATGTTCGACACTATACAACTCCGAGATAAAATCCATATAACTCATATCCAGTTCTGTTTCTATGGACACGACCACATGGAGATAAAGAACGAGCACTTATCGAGTTACAAAAAATATATAAATAGAGTGTATATGGAGGATTTTTTGTGTATTCAAGTTGTGTTCTCATGTAGTGTCTAGATTATAAAATCTCCTCCATTTTTATGATGTACACCTTAAACCTCCACACTAATGAGACTAAATTCAATTAAAGTGCAAGTTAAATTCTATTAAATTTGAATATTAAAATAAAGGAAAAATTAAAATTAAAATCAATTTTAAGTTTTGAAAAAACTCAAAACATAAGTTACAATTGAGTTCATTAGGATTCTGATTGGAGGGTTTCTGGTCATGTGACTCTGATACGATTTCGATTTCTGATGGATCCAATTGAGTGGATTTAGGGTACAGACCAATTTATAGTGTTGAATAGTTATGGGTTTTCAGTGTGATGTGGTTGCAAAGAGTGATGCTTTGCTTAAAAAGTAGGTTTATTAAAAAATGTTGACAAAGTAGTCGTTCGCAAATTCAAGATCACTCAATTCAAAAACTGTTTTTGAAAGCAACAAAATTCATTAGCCTTATCTTGCTAACACACATTTTGTCAACCATTTTTGTCACACTACTTTGTACAAGTAGATTAATTGGGTTGCAAACTTTTCCAAGTTATTCGAGAAAGTCGTGCTGCTTTTCTTTTTTCAACTTTATTTATTTGTTTTCTTGATTTTGTTACTTGTATTGAAAATGATGTGAAGGAAAAGATTTGATAAAAAACTAACAATATTGTGAATTAACAAATAATAGAATGTCTTAAGGACATTTTTATAATTCATTATATAAGCCTTGATGCCATAGTCATCAAACCCAACCCGTAAAAATTGTTGGGTCACCAAGTCAATGGTTCAACCAATGATTCGATGGTTGAATTTGTGGGTCATTGTTAGATTGTAATTTTAATTAAAATATATTTTTGAACTAAAAAAAAAAAAAAACCTATTTTGCTAAATCTAAATACATATGTTTGACTCCCAATATATAACCAAAGTTCACATGTTTCCCAAATCGTTATGGAAGCCAAGGTTCGAATCATTGCCATTGCAAATAGAATATAAATCTTACATTGTACTTTTGTTATCATTTCTCTAAATCTGAATATTTGGCTTATTAGTTTCCAAAAAAAAAAACTCCAATTTTAATTTCAAGGTTCAAATCACTCCCTATGCAAATTGAAATAAAAATTTTACATTGTGATTGGTTAACCACATTCGGTTCATGTTACTCTTAAACCCGTCCGAACCGACCAATTTTTGAGTGGTTTAGTTGATTCTTGATTTGGTCATTTGCTTGTTTGTCTACTTAGTGAACTCAGACCAAACAACCATCCAGTTTGACAGTTCCCTGTCTGAAACCAACGGGTCCGATCCGATTTTAATAACTATGCTTGATGTATAAATAGCAAGGTAAGGATTTTCTTGCAAGTTTTCTTTGAGCTAAATGTTTCAGTAGCCATTAAACATGTTTTTCCCTCCCACTTTACTCATTAAACTTTAAAATGTTTTCGAGCGGTCAGTGAACTTTAATACACTGTATTTCATTAATTATTGAACTTTAAAGTGCTTTTGAGTGACGACTAAATTTTAACATACTGTTAGGTATGGCAATTTAGCTTGCCAGTTTGGGGCCGAAAGTGGCTCGGCAAAATAAAAAAAAAAAAAGCCCGAGTTGGCTAGCGGCCCTATTGAAAAAAAAAATTAAGTTAAAGGCGGCAGATGTGTTGCCTTAATAGGCACTCGGTTGCTACCTTTTAAGACAGCCAGCTGCGACTTCCTTATTAAAGGCTCGAGTCGAAAGTTCGGGTCGAGTTTAATTTTTTTGGCCGAGCTTTGGGCTTAAAAAAAGCTCGCTCCCTTTATCCCAGCCGAGCCTCAAGTTTCGACTTACGAGTCGATTCGGCTCAACTCGTTGACATCCCTACATACTTCGTCAACCATTCACCATGTTTCATCAGTTATTAAACTTATAATTTTGTCACGTTTTACTTATTGAATTTTAAAATACTTTCAAGTGGTCACTAAATTTTAGTCATTGAAATCAATTGTTCAAAAATGAAAAATTTTGAAATATAAAATATCATACACAAAGACTGCATCTTTATTTCCTCTTGTTAATATTATTGACTTCAAATCGAAAATTTCACTATATTTTTTTAGATATATCATATGCATAACCCTGATTAGGCTCCATTAAAAAAAATGCTTTGAGAAAAGTGTATGTTGGAGTAGTGTGGTTAAAAAATAAAGAAAATTTGTCAATTCTTGTATAATATTATTTTATTGAAAAATGTGGTTAAAAATAAGAAAGAAAAAAATGTATTTAAAAAAAAATGGAACCCAAACCGGGCATAGTTTTTTATTTTCTTTATTTGGATCTATTTTATTTTTTCGACGTAAAAGAATATTTGGTATAAATTAAGATTTATGTCAATTTGAATCTAACACCCTTCCTTTCTCTTCAATATAGCTTTTGGCGACTAGAGAAATTATATCTTCTTAAACAATATTAATATTCTCCTTTTAAATTGAGAGTCTCATTATATATTCGATATTTATTTATTTATCTTGGTCAAATCTCTTAAAAAATTAAATTTACATGAAATTATTTTGAAGTTTAGTGACCACTCAAAAACATTTTAAAGTTCAACGAATAACGCGTAACGAACATATAAGTTCAATAACTAATGAACATAATGAATATGAGTGATGAAGTGCAACGTGTAAAAATTCAGATCATGAGTAAGTGATAAAGTGTAATGTGTTAAAGTTCAGTGATTACTCAAGTATAATTTAAAGTTCAGGGAATAAAATGTGCCAAAAGTATAAATTCAATGACAAATAAAATATGTAACTCAATTTCTTCTTCTCTGAGCACTATTATGCAAAAAACCGTGGGTTGTTTTTATTTATTATTAGATTTAAATTAGCCACATCTTATACTAGCTTCATCCATACTACAATATCAATCTAAGCACGATATATTAAATTTAATTAAAAATAAAAGCACGTCAGTATGATGTCATTTAAACTTGTGTTGTAACACTGTTAAATAGATTATTCTTTTTACGCAATATGTTACTCTAGAGATCAATTTTAGTTGTTTGGACACATTTTATCCATGTAGTTTATTTTTCTCTTAACAGAAGCGAAACTCGAAAATTACAAAATAATTGTGCTCGGTGTACAATTACTGCTAGTGATTTCGAGCTAACTGCAAATTGGAATGTATACAAATGAACATTTTGTTTGAAGCCCAGAAAAAGAAAACAATTAATCAGGGGAATTTGGAGTTTAGAACTATGTACATGATCAACTCATAGATCTGAAATACATGATTTGTAAAGATACATATTGCACTGGATAAAAGGGGATTGGACTAGAATTTACAATTTTTGATAGCCTACCATTCCCAGCAGAAACCTCATTTTCACTCTTCAATTACCAGTTACACATTTCCACAACATCCTGAAGCCTCCTCTCCAGCGCGGCAGCGGAGGAATCCACGGCTGCAGACTCTTTGACTTGTGACGATTCTCGTCGGAATACGGTTTCGAAACGGGAAACGCACTTTGCGATTGACTCTTTCGCTTGAAAACCAGATGCAGAAGGCGAGGATGAACAATTGGAAATACGCGACGACGTTGGTCTGGTGTGGTGCCCTAATATGAGCATTGCTGCTGTTGGTGCCATGCCTTGGTGGAATCCAGATGAATTATTTGAAGCAAATTTTGTTGAAGATGAAGAACGATGTGTTTGTGGTGGTGAGAGTTTTAATTTGCGATGAAGGAAACAAACTGTGGGCTCTGCTGTTGGTTTTGAGTTTTGGAGTCTGATCCCAATCTACTGACTTTTGTTAAATCAGGTAAATTCACATTAATTTATTTTACTTTAGTTACATCATTCAATTTTACCACTTAAATTGACAGAAAATAACGATGATGGTCGTCTCGCATCGGCCCGGTTTCATGTGATGAACATCATTTATTGATCAATACGGCACAATTTTTGTT